ATGGTGGAATTATTGAGGAAATAGCTGAGGCTAGGAAGAGACAGCTGTCGGGTTGGGAAGGGGGAAGCGTCCATCCTCTGACCTAAGCCACGCGAACAGGGATTAACTATTGGCCAAAAGTCAGTCCTTCATTAGGGTGTTCAGCAGATCGATCACAGGCCCTGGAGCCATAGGACGGTATTGCAGAGGCAAAGCCCAGAAAGGATCATCATTGCGCTGTCCTGACCGGGCACGGTTGCTCCCTCGATGGTACCCCATCAGACCAGCACCATATGTGACCATTTTGCGGGCGACTTTGTTATCCGCAGGCACATTTCGCCGAGCGGGCCAGTCAAGAACCATGGAATAAAGCTACCCGCAACACAGAGCAATGTCAAGGTTAGGCCTGTTAGTTGGTTTGGGGGATCTTTGGTACTGTGCTCGCGGAGAAATCTCCCAGCCAATCCTCGCTCCCTCTCGTCTCCGCCGCCATTCGGGGAAACATCGCTTTTGTAGTGCACGCTAGAACATCTGGTGCCGTGACTATACGTCAACCGGATCACTGACCTTCCCTCTCTTCATTTTTCCTCCCCAAGACTGTCTGGTCTTTTCAAAGCTGATCCTTTATACCTACAATATCATGTATCAAAGTGGGAAGTTTTCGCGATGCAGCAGCCTGGCTCCAAGTCGGCGGGCAGCCGCCACCAGCTTTTATGGCTATTGTATTAGCCCCCGTTTGACCGTGGGAATGCTTCACGGCCTGGCAGAAGAGCTTGCTTCTATGGAAGCTATGAACTGACACTTATGTAACAGGCGTCACATCAAATGCCTTTCCTTTCGCAGACCTGCATACTGATGACGAGGAATCAGTAGAATCGTACCTGCCGAGAAACAGAATCGCCTCCTGACCTCGAATTTATCGCGACAAGTCTCTCGAAAATCGTCCTCCCACAACAAGAAAGAGAATTGGATTCAAAGTTCGGTGTCATCAGCATCATGTTATCTAGGATTTCAGCGGTCCCGCGTTGCGTCTTGTTGTCAACATTAAGAAAAACGGCGATTGTTTGTCTTCGGTGGAAACACACTGGTAGCGGCTGAGGGTACCACAATGGTATCAAGACACGGTTTCATCTTCGGATTCGACTACTCCAATATATACTGGCAAATCCTTGGCGTGGCACAAATCCACGGCATAGCTGGTTTGTCAGTGCTCTGAGAATTCTGCTCGCGGGCATGTCGGGGTATACACAGTCCGCCTCGCAAGTTCCGCCCTTGTGAAGTGTCTCCTTTGGGAGCTGAAGACTCGCTCCAGTCATTCCGATGATCGAGTGCATCCGAGACGTGCCTTTCGGTCAAGCTCAGTACACTTCGGCGAAAAGGGAAAGAGGATACCACAGGAAGCGCGATGATCTTCGGTTTTCCAATCGTTAGGCTTTAGGCACCGTGACAACACCTCAGCTCGTGTTCGCGAGCGTCCCATCGGTTCGGTGTGATCGTAAAGCGCATCTAGGACAGTTTGCCGTATTATACCGAAGACGTCTCTCTATGGTACCGAAGGTCGTTGCTTGTACTGGACTCGCATGGGTGGTAAGGACCCTTGTTTGAACGAGCGCCAAGCTTTGTAGTCTGGCTCGATTTGACGTGCAGATCTAGCGTCAATCTTCGATGGTTTCATCACAATGAACTCAGTCATCCACCAAATCTATAGCTTCGTTGCAAGTCTGCAAAAGATACACGTGGTGCTCGGGACTTCACTTTATATGACTACCGTCTGTTGTGTGACTCCGGAATAGTTTTCTCGCTCGTATCACAATCGTCGATCACGCTCGTGTGTTGGATCAGCGAATGAGTATGCTGTCATATGTTTGGTTACGTCACGGGAACTAGTGCGCTTTAGCATGAACGTCAGGTCTGTCAATGTACAACTCCATCCGATACGCTTCCATCGAAAGTGCCATGTACGACGTCCTAAGTTGGATCCGTACAACCAAGTCTGGCTTTCTTGTTCGGGCATCAGCATTGGGCAGAGACTCCACCGATTGAATGCTGGGTGTAGTGCAGTCTATCGAGTTTGAAATGGTTGGGTGATACTGATAAATCAGTGGAAAGGTGCTGTTTGAAGCAACTGCATACTAAGCTTCGTTCGCGCTTTGGCACGCCCTGTCAGATAAATGCCAACATCTCGGTGATCAAGGCATCCATCGAAGGCATCGAGTCCGACCCTACGAATTGTCCAGACCTGCCAAAGTCCATTGTGGCGCTCCACCGGCGGGCAGGCTGCTGTAATAGTTCGGAAGATGTTATGAGGATCTGGCTTGCTCCACTTCCAGGGATTGACCGGATTCGCAACGACGAAAAGTCCCATCGCCCGCCATGAGAACACTGGCTATTGTGGGCGTGGGCAAGACGTTTCGGAAGTAGAGGTAAGAGCCAACTGTAGAGGACTATATTTCGGCTCTGACGAAACCACATGCAGAAGGCGAGCATACGCCCAGTGTTGTCCGTGCATGCGCAAAGTTTTGCAGAAGCCAGAAATTTGTGTCGAGAGTGAAGTAGTCTTCGCTTACCAATCGGTTTTCAGTCTCTCTAGTAGATCAATCACATTCGTGGATTCTGCTCCAGGTTAGGCACTGGCAGTTAAGAAGAAGCAACCATAAAACCTGAAGGTGATGAGGAATACCTACTTGGAGAGAAAAGGGGGGTGGAGGGAGCAGGGCAAGGGCAGCAGCAACCAGACGAACCGGTGGTTTCTAGCGCCAAGGTGAGTGCCCATTAGCGAAGGAAAATACATCCAGGAATCCTCATTGGGCAACTACTGGACGCCTCCGAAGTCATCTCCCGAACGCGAGGAAAACAAGGTCATGCGTTTTGGAAACGCTTACAAACTATCAAGGCGCATGCCTTGAGAGGATAAGTGGGAGAAGTTTGCATCAGTACTAACCTTGTGACTCAAAAGATCTGTGCAGCCTTCACAGTGCCGGCGGACTCCTCGCATCTGACATCTCTTCTATGACATTGCGGGTTAGCGATGCAAAGTTATGGCTTGTACCAGTGAAGACTTGTCGACTACACTTGTTCAGCAGCTTCGGAGCATGCCATGAGAGGTTGCAATTCAGAAAGTGCAAATTCTGACATTCAACAACAGGCCTTGCTCGGTGTCTCGATTTGGGTGGCATTCAAGGTAAATCGGTGGAGACCTCTTCCGCGCATTCATTGCCCGCAATGAGGAACCCAAGAGTACATCGCAGAGTGCAGTGGTCTGCCTGAATAGGTCATTCTAACGGAAAGCTATATCTATACTGACTGGTCACTGTCGACTTGGAAAATAAGGAAGAGCGATGACAACAACGGCAAAAGGCAAATATCTACTGGGTTCCGGTCGTTTTTTGTCAGAACTTCTACTGAACCATGTCTCGAGGCGGAGCCCTGCGGCCCAGTCTCAGCCAGATGTGCTGGCACCATTCCGTGAGCCTGCTGCCATAGCCTGCCTTACGGAAATTGTTTCCGGACCACAGTGGAATCTGGCAGCCCATTTTCTGGGCCGGTTATGCAGCCTATGGAGGAACATATGCCTAATCTCATACTAGTGCATGTCCATTCTCTCACTACTCTGTACAGGCTACGAAGATATTCGAACTAGTCCACCTTAGCCCCCCATATGCAGGGTCCTCCAGGATGATATTACCCAAGAAAGGCATCCGAAGCTTGCATATGCAGGTCATTATCAGCTTAGATGAAGCACATCCGAACTGAACCTGGCTAGCTGAAGAAGTGTCCCTCGGGAATTTGCCACCTGGTCTACGACCCCCTCAGGGGTGAGATGACTCGCGCATTGTCCACGCACGTCTTACCATGTCAGAATTTGTGGGCCGCCCCCTTTTAGTTTCTTCATCACAACCCTCTTTGGTGTGTGGATTAGGTGACATGGTTTGTGGAAATAGGATTACACGTAGTTTAGTAATTTCTGCCCTGAAGAAAGTACTTTACCTTTATTGGATTAGCTCGATGGGTTTGAACACGTCCTCAGGGAGACTAATTTTTCTTCACGTATTCGTTTGGTTCCATGGTCAAGATCTGATTGACTGCTGTCTGTGTATAGTATATATCTTACCATGTCATGTCTGTGATAAAATCATGACACCGAATCTGATTCTCACTGTCCATGTTTAGTATTATGTGAACTTCACAAAGTTTCTGTATAAATAGCTTGTTCGAAGTATAAAGTTAGTACTACTATTCTCCTGCATTTATTCATCTTCGTCAATGCAAGCAAGATCAACTTAGCTTTTCGGCAGAAATAAATGACGCTGTTTGAGCATGATCATACTGACATTACTTATGTTTTACATAACCTTAAATTATACTTACTATAGAGCGTGCCTTTCTCCGAATGCCAGTTTAGTATAATTCCTACAGTTGTTTTGTTTAATTTCCCTTGCTCCGGATAATTTATCCCTGCATGTATAGTCATGCCTCCTATGCGTGGCGCGTGAGGCCCTTCCGCTGGGAATGTGAGACATGCCGTAGGTAGGTAATCGGCCACAGCCACATATTATTCAGCCACTCGCAGGATAGGGATAATTCCTGGGAGATATAACGGATGTGTTCTGTGGTATTTCCAGGAACATATTGAGGAGTGATGGGAGTTAAGGATTGATCTCTGAACAGAACGAGTCCATATCGATGTTGTTGACGTCCTTTTGCTCTGCTCCCGCCAGAGCATACCAAAACTCGTTGTCATGGAATTCATGCTCGTAGGAGAGCAGCATTCTTTGGACCTTGTTTCCTGAGCGTTTAGCATAGGGACGCGACACAGTAATAACAGGTGCAATTTATCCCCCCTTGCTTCGCAAATAGCAAGGGGAAACGGAGCACTTATAAAGCAACTTATGTGTCGCTGCCACCCATGTACGTGATCGCCTGCATGACATTACCTATACTTGATTCTGTCCTCTTGCCGAACTTGCTCGGTGTCCACTCCCTCGTTTTCAGACTGTCACTCATTTGATCAAAGTAGCAAGATGCAGCTTACTGGTCTTTTCGCTACGGCTTTTGCCCTCCTCGCATCTACTGCCTATGCCCAGACTGGTTCCCAGGGTACTGATACTGGAAACAAGTTTTGCACGGGTCAATGCCTCCCTAAGAGTTCCGATCTCCCCTGCAGCAAGCCGGAGGTAAGCACATCCTCGATGCTCGGCATAAAGTCCTCACTGACCGTTATGACAGTGGCAAGCATCATTGGGTTGCTACATGTGCTGCCTCGATAATGATAATTCGGGTGGCTTTGCGGACAGTCTCCCTGACGATATTCTTCCTGACGACATTATTGGCGACGATGACTGAAAATAACCAACATGTCCACCACTTTATGTCCCAGATCGGTTGCCGTGTAATCCTTCTAGCGAAATTATCGGGTTTCTTGTGCTGTGCTTGAAGAAGTATTAAGGATCCGGCGTCCTGGGCATGTACATTATGTTGCAATGTGTTGTATTGATTTCGTCATAGATCAATCCTTGCTTGTATGTGTATTGTTTTCGACTCCGAAAAGATAAATCCCTCGTGCATAAGACATGGTAATCACTGAAGATATTTCCAGTAGTGTGGGTGAATCCGCTAGATGGTTCGTAGGCTTGGGGTTCTCGACTCGGAGGTTCGTAGTTGGAAGAGCAGCGCGCGCGTTGCGTAGCCGAGACCATTGAATAACATTGACTGCAGATGGCCCTTCGACGGCACACTGCGCCCAGCACGGATGCTATCGAGCCATGAGCAATAGAAGTTCATTCCTATCGCAATTGCGTTATCACTTTAGCCTATTTAAACCCGTTGGCCTATATTGACCTGTTTCACGCCGCGTGTCGGTTGCAGCACGCCTGGTCCTGTCAGATACCTTAGGTCTTCGTTTCCGTGCCGGTCCAATCAAGTCTCTGCAGACAGAACGACATTAATGCAGCCCTAGTCACTTCAGAGAGGATGTGCTCCCGCGACGCATTTAGTCAAACATCTTCCCATCCTCTCTGCATTTGATTGTATCCTAGCTCTTCAGACCCCAACGCTGGCATTGTATTATAATTCGTGCGCTGTTATCGTGTCCAAGCAACGTCATCCGCCGGTGCTAATCCGACCTAAAGGCTTTATCGGTCGCTGGACCGTGATCTCAGCTATTTCCAGGGTTGACATGACCTCCTTGTATCTGAGGACAGAAGCTCTGAATCTCGACCGATCGCCGTATTTGGGCTATGCAGTGGGTAGGCTGTGCACTCAGCAACGTCGTGGTTTGCATTGAATTGAGCAGATTTGCTATTGGCTTGTACCGACAAACCAACATTCAGCCTATCTGGCATGAAGGATTGCCCTTCCAAGTACATTCCTCGTCCTTTATGTCTAAATTTTCATCCGACAATTCATCTTGTTCATTGATGACATGCAGCAAAACATGAACCTGTTCCTGTCATTGCCGACCATGGGACATACCCGGCCGAGTGGATCAATCTGTGTAACCAGCCTTCAAAGTTGACGGCGTATGACCCCACAGTGATACAGGTGCAGATGTAGTCATTCAATCTATCTCCAATCTTTTGTATTGTCGAAGTCATAGGTTATTGTTTCTGCCGAAGTACGTCGTTCGAAGGGAAAGTGGGATTTTGGCACATCTGGTCTGCGGGCTCTCCGGATCTCCGTCAGCGCTAGGTTAGCCAGAATTCAATAATAGCATGGACTTGGACACGGAAAGTTAGGTGAACACAGCGTCTAATCCCATAGGTAGTAATGAGTATATCTGGTGAAAGACACTTGTTCTTAACCAGGCATTTTGTAGCCTTCGGAAGACGAGGTTGAGTCTTCGAACATCTTCACAGCCAGTGATTAGTCCAGGCTGTCTCGTGTCCAAATAAGCCAGGGATAGCCGTTCGGTATAATAACAGCTTTTGAAGCGTTCTCCTCTCATAGAAGCCACATTCGAATCTGCAGTAATCTTCCATCAAGCTCTTCCTGGGCGCACCAGGGCAGACGAGGTTGCGATATCATGGGGCATAATGAACATATCGATCCACGCGTACTGACGAGAAAAAGAGGGAACTCATCAAAGTCCTAGCTCTTCTCTGCCGATTACAGCCTGGAGCCCGAACAGGGAGGTCTGGTAGGAGGCTGGGAGAGCAGAAGGTGGAATCCCTGAAGAGAACCTAGTCGATGGATGGGGGAGATGGATGCATAAACGAGATGCAAAGGACAAGAAATCTTGATGGTCAGTTATCTGGTGCTCATTCGATGCAGAATTTGACATCGGGCTGATGACAAGATGGAAAGAAAGAAAGAACGGGACGCTCGTAAGATTCAGTTGACGGGGGATGGATGGAAATGATTTCCGGCTGGCAGGGCAAATATGCTTGCCGTCCCAGGAAAGCTCACCAAACTAACCTTGGTACCTTAGCTCTGTTGCACTTGCTACTAGTCTTTGACAAATGAATCTGCTCTATTTACGAGTTCTTTATGATACGAGAGGTTCGCTTCAAGTTGCCTAATCTAGGCTTTTGGGAATCTCAGGGTTCAGTAAAAGGGCAGATTCTGAGTTTACGATGAACTCATCTTGCAAGATTGTACAGGTATTTTTGAGTTTCCAAGAATACTCTGATGCTAAAGTATTCGTCTATGAGCTGATTATTTACCTCTCAAGAGTTGGGTTCTTCAACGCAGGTTCATTAGCAGATATCCAGAGATGAAGAAGACTGGTGATAGGCTAAAGATGCTAAAATCGCTGAGTGGATAGTGGCATTTCTGAGTCCTCAAAAGATGGTTAACCCACACCAGAAGATGCACCAGTTGCAGACACCCTGCAGCTATATAAACGCATCATGTCTAGTGCTTGGCTGACATCTTCATCGCCTCTCCTTCTTTTGCTCTTTTGCCACCATAACTTGTCATTGTGAGGTCCAACGAATGTAAGCGTATTTATCCAACGCGAAATGAAAATTATTTTGTATTAAAACCGGGCACATCCACGAACAGGAATTTACTCCGGGCTATGATGCTCAAAAGCTATGCTATAGTACACATCAGGAGCAGAGAGAATGTTGGGGAGCAGGCGTTCTCTGCTTAGTAGGTGAACTGCATGTCATTAGTTTGTATGACCTGCACGGCATTATGTTGTAGCTTATTCGCCAATTAAGCTTTTTGTATGATTCATGTATAGCATTAGGATGCTGCGAGCAATTATCCTCTCTTTGCTGGCTGTTACTTGCCACTCGTTGAATGCATAACATTATGCATCATTGTATGTATGTGCTTAGTCAGTTATACTTCACAATAGAGGGCGCTCGGCAGTGGCTCGGCAGTACTGTTAGTCTGTGACAGCAGCTAATTAACCTTACCCCATGGTCGGTCTAGTGGTAGATCACAAGTTGATAGGTAGATGGTCCAATAAATAACCGAGTCTTGTTCAGTTCTATATAGTGACACCCACTCGTCTATACATATGCCCAAAGTCCGTGTGGTATTAAGAATCTATTTAAGCATCCGCTATGTGCTCAATGTCCAAAAGGAAGGTGCCGTTTCCACGCCTATCATCCATCGCTTCGTAGTACTCATGCTGGCTCTAATGCATCTGTTGTGTTTTTCCCGCTCAATATTTGCATATACCAAAATGACTGACAACAGAAACCAAAAGAAAAAGAAAGATCAAGATAATGCTTTGAGGCTAGCCCTTTCCATGACCCACATGCACAACCTCTGAGCGCTTGCAATTTCGACTAATAATTGTAAACTCAGTCGACTTGGAAAGCGTCAAAATTGTGATGGTATGATCACGAAGTCTCCTCCAGGGAACGGGCAGGTATATCAGAGGTCGGCGAACCCAAGGCCGTCTTCAGGGTCGGCGTCTTTTCACTGGGCTTCTCATCCCATAGCGCACTACTGGCGGGGAAGATCGACCCATCGTTGGAGATATTAACGGCAGGGGCATCTTCCACGCTCACATGCACATGAGGCACCACTAAGTCGAGCCCTTTCGAGGCGCTTGGGCAACCAGACATCTGGGGCTTGTGCCGAGGGGGCAGTGGACGATAGGCCGAGTCATGCATATAGCTCATATAGTCCGACCCATTGCTGCTCACCGACGATGCAGCTGTGGACGGCGTGTGCATCAGCGGCGGAACAGACCCCGTAGCACTCCAGAGTGCCGACAAGCTGGTCGAACTGCGGTGATCAAACCGAGGGCGCCGGACCGGCATCATAGTGTCATCACGGTGAAACTGGGAGAGGTAATTCCAGGCCTCTGACGACGCCAGAGAACTGGCACCGGATCCCATAGGTATCACTGGCTTCCATTCGGATGGATCCTGATCCGTCTTGGCATCATTCCATTCGCTGGGTATCCTGGAGATTGAGGATCTGGCGGCACCTTTCGTGGGAGTCATGGGTGCTACAATCATTCGAGGAGACATAGGAGGAGAGGCAGGTGGAGTTGTTGAGGAAGACATGGAGGAGGTTGATGAGAAGGAAGCTGAAAGTGGTTTGTGGGAGTCTTTGCGGCGACAGCTGCAGAGATAATGTGTTAGTAGAAATTTATTGAAAGGAAAGAGATAGCAATGAGACAAAGGAAGGACTAGGGGGAACTGGGTTGGAATTTAAACCAGCAGTGGAGGCTGTGCAGTCAAGGCTGTGGCGCGATAAGGAGTCTCATACCTTTCGCTACAATATAAGAGGGAATTGTCAGGCACTGTTATCTGTTTTTCGCACATGGCGCTGTAGATCGGTTAGCTTTGATCCTGAAGATAAGCGATCATTTGATATGCAAGGGGAATAAGCGACAAGGTTAACGGGGATGTGCGAGGATTGGCAAAAGCAACCATGCTGGGGAGAAGGCAGGGCAGAAGATACTAGGATATAGCATAACACATACCAAAAGTTGAGAAAGCTAGCCGCCATCTCGGGCTGCCGGTCGTCGTCCAACTCTAACTGCTTGGTGACTTGTCCAGAGCCTAGTTTGGATATAGAGTGGTTGACAAAGGATGTTCCTCTCCGATGTAAAGCCGGCCGTGAGTTCCTCAGCTTAGGGACATTGGAGCCCGAGGAAGTGCGGCGATGGTGGTTATTGCTTTGAGTCATGGATGGCGGTGAGGATCTGGTTAAGTATAAATATGACACCGGTCCAAAAGAAAAACCATCTATCTGAAAATAATTCGGCGATGGTACCTTGCGCCGAACCGCGCCAGTTGTGGAGCACGAGAGCTTGCCCCTATGGGGTCAGAAAGTATGAGGGATTTGCGTCTAGCAGGGATCCAACTGCACAATTGGTTGGACCAATGGCCTCGCACGGTAGTACTGGATGATATAGTTTCGTAATAATGCCTCAGTCCTCGTTCAGCCGAAATGGCATGTGCCGAATGAATCGAGCTGAAACGGCAAGGGAATACACGCCTGAGTGGTTTCTTATTTTTGAGAAAACCCTGGCAATGAGAGGCAAATATGTAGCGGGTGAGCGCCAAATTCTTTGTAATGACAGTAACAACGATAAGCTTTTTTCTTTTCTGCTCTGTGTGTATCTGCTGTGGTACCAGAATTGGTCAGATAGGTCACAAATGAAACCAGTCTCACTAGTAGTACTACTAGAACGTTGGTGGCCCGGCTGAGGGAGCGTTATCACCGGCCTCTGAGTGGGGAGAGATAAGGGACAACAAAGTAACAAACGGGTAATCGACAAACGAAAGAAAAGAAAATCGTAAAGGATAATTATAGCTAGGAAGGGAGACATACATACCAAAGGAATGGCAGTGTATTCTGTTTCCCCCTTTCTGCGATTTAAATCCCTCTTTGTTTTCTTCTTGGTTTGGCCCCTTTCTTATAAACCAGTGTGCCGTCTTCTCCAAGGTACACCGCACGTGCAATGGGCCTGATACCGAAAAGGGCGGGTGTAAGTAATGCTAAGCGGGATTATTGACCGGCGGTGATGAGAGAGTATCGTGCAGCCGACTGGAAAGCAGAAAAATCGCTCGGAGAATAACTAGGCAATACTGAAAGAGGGATACCGAAGGGAGCATCAGATCACAGGCGCCGGGACGGTCAATCAATTGTATAAGAATAGCCTAAGAGTAATCGAAAGGTCTTCCTGTTGTGGTAGTCGAAAAGTGTCAAGGCTGTTTGCGTCTCACGATAAGAACACCAAAGGCAGAAAAAGCGAACAGCCCGATAGATATAACCAGAGCCGGAAAATCGATTCAAGCAACAGAAATTCTAGAACTTTGTTCCACCTACATGGGGAGAGCATGATGGGGGGATTAGGTTAGCCTTGGTTTCTCTTCACATCCCCAGGTGTGCCTCCATTCGGCCCATTACTAGTTACCGTGACCACCCTGGGTGACGCCCGAGCACGTCAGGCCCGGGAGGGAAGGCGAGACTCAGTTGAGTCACGCCATGATTGGGCTGGGGAAGGGAGTTCTAGACTGCCGGACTGCCGTGTGCCGCCTGCCTCAGGCAGCACAACGCGCAATCGTCCGTCTGAATGGGGAAGGCACACAACAGATTCGGCTTACCTCACCACCCATAGATGATCTAATCCACTCCGCGTACGGAGTATATGACTGGGGAACGTTGCAATGCTCCGCCGGAACGACTCTTTTTGACTTCTCCTTGTGGACTGACTGGCTATATTTAGCTGTCACTCTGGATCCGGTGGGGAGTGTATAGCGGATGGAAGACGAAGCACACAGAAAGAATTTTTCGTCCTCTCCTCCGAATCCGTTGTTTCCTCTCGTTGCTCTTATATGGTACTTGTGCGTAAGTACTGCGGTGTTCTACTAGTGTTCGGGAGTCTCTCTTATGTCCACTGGCAGGCGGGGTACCCATCGCGATAAGGTAACCATTAGTTGCCGCGTCCATCTTGTGCAGAGACCGGAGCGATAAAAGCCCTTCCCATTGCCCCTCAAATCCTCATTTGGCTTTCCTTGAGATTCCGATATTTTATTTTTCCCTTAACCGACCGAACCACGCTTATCGGGTGAAGGAACACCACCATGTCCTCAACCATTCGTCGCATGCGAATGACATGTCGTCGTCTTGGCTTGGCTGGATCTCTGCTACGCGGGGCTCTTGAGGTCTGATCATCACTGCCGACCAGCCCAGTTTGTCACCTCAAATCGGGCAGCCATCGTCAACACGGAGCGTCAGCTGTAAAACACCCCAGCTCCACATCTGCTGGTCTAGACAGTGCCTTGGTGGCCGGACTCAAGGGGAACCAACCAATGCTTAACGTACAGGCTTACACATGGACTGTTTCTCCATCCAGAGCTCAGTGCTTTTCTGCAGTGTCCGCCCCCCTTAATTGGATCTGTGCGGCAGGATCACCCGCCGTTAGATCCAATGAGTGAGCCCTATCGCAGTGCGGAAGCAGTGATTCGGAACTGGACGCCAGGGAGGCAGTTAACCTTGGCTAGCAAACAAGGAAATGCCGACCCGGATCAATTCTATGGCTTTCTGTCGTTTCGGGATGGCCTATATTGTGTGACGCCATAAATGCCTCGAGTAGTAGTTGTACTTTTTCCTTAAACTAGCTTGTAATCGCGAGAGAGGCAAAAGAGGAGAAGGGGAGGAACTAGGCAGCAAGAAGAACCGGCGAAACCGATAGTGGCCTGCTCAGGTGGCTACCGCCATGAGGCGAAGCAAAGCCGTGATGGACAGAAATAGATGAGACAATTCTCTGGGGCGAAACAAAAATATTCCATCCATATTTCGGCAGTCCCACACGGCAGCAGAGGTTTAAACAAAGGTCTACTAACTATAATGTCATCAGTGACTGCAACATTCAAATCAGTCTATGATGCGAGTAACTGGGGATGGAGTCCATAATAGTGGGGCAATGTCACAGACTGACTGGCAACCACAGCGCAGACTATATTTACTAGTTGCACACCAATTATCCGGAGATCAACTTATTGGAAACTGACAGATAATTGGTTTGGTACAGACTGGTGAATAATGCATTCTGCATTTGTAGAAAACAACAGAAGTTGACACGTTCTCGATCGTCCTGTGGATCAAACTTCTTCATCCATTAGCAAATATTTATACATCCGACGTTGAGATTGGATGTTACTAAACTCGATGACGGATGGAGATTCCCACCCACTTGTTCCAGGGATCGTCCCCCTTTTCGGCTTTACCGCAACACATCATTTGAACTGGATATTCTGGATCTAGGGCTCCATAATCTGATAGGCACACACATCCACATTTCAGTGTCTCGACCATAGCGGTGAGTCTGGACTAGTATCAACAGAGCAAAAAGGATCGTCCATTCTCTCCCATCAAGGTCAAGTCCTTTTAGCTGATGTTTTTACTCTTTCGAATGTCTAGAAGATTGTAATTTCCCATGTTGCGTACACGTTTACGGAGTATCACAAGTCCAATTGTCTGTCCAATCTGGCCTGTTGCATTTTGTGCTTCCATGGCCCCGTATTTACTTCTTACATGCGGGGCAGGCGTTGTGTCCCCTCCGAAGCCTGTACAATGATGTATCTACTCTACCCAACAACTGCACGTTTCACGGGTCATCATTCATACGAATCGAACTAAGCCGACTCACTCAACGGGAGTAGAGTGATACTCTCACCATGCGATCGTTGCCCCCTGCCTTGATTTAAACCGAATCATTCGATTTAAAGGCCTATCACACGTTCTCCTCCATCATGCTAATCACCGTCACATGCGAGATTTCCGCATCAAGTATGATAGGAGTAGATATCCTACTTGCACGCGGACACCCTTCAATCCCCCTTATCTCTTATTATCAAATATGGAGAGTCTTATAACGTAGCTACTCCCATTATTCAAGGTTTCTACACCGCAACTTCCTGCAACTTAAACCATGATCGAGTCAAGGACAAGAAGTTCATTAGCGTTGAACGCTGATTAGAACCCACGGACTCGAAAGAGGGGTTGGCATACAGATAAAACTTACTTTGTCGGCATTGTCAACTTCGGTCTTCTGCCCACATGATAACGACGGCCATACATAAGAAAGGCTATACCGGAATAATAATCTTCCATTTACGTCACCTTTCCTGTATGGTTACCATGATTACAAGACCCTCGTATGATTCCCGGTAGTATGGTGTAGTGGGCAGTTTGGTAGTAAGTAATTTCCGTGCAACACCACGCATGCAACCTGCGTTTGTCATACCGACAGGCCTTCGCCGACCATCTCGTCCTGGTTCTTAAAGCTGTGTTATCTCCTCAAACTTAACCGGGAACAGCCATTACTTGCAGAGCTCTGCTCTATCAGCTCAGTGTTACGAGTATGTGACATGACTATATTATAGTGGCTGTCTCCAATATCAACAGAGCTATTCCGCTTCATTTACTGAGTTGTTATACAATCCATAAACGCTAGTAGTACTTTGGTGTATTGAAACAACGCTATCTATGCTATCTATAATCAACTAAGCAACTAGCTGTCTAAGTACATACGTTTGAACTTGGCATATTAATGACAGATATGTACACAGACAGGAAATATGCATCAGGCCAATAAACTAGCAAACAAGCAAGCCGTTTTTGATTGTGATGCCGATCTCAGACAATTTGTAGCGTTCACTCAAGATGTGGAAAGCTGACAGACCATCAACAAAAGAGCAATACGCCCGTAGTAGTCGTTCATCGGCCTCCCCTAGCTTGTGCTTGATATGCTCGTGCATTGTACCTGCATCCCTACACACCTCAAGCAGGACATCGACGGGCTGGCGCCTTTGTACTATAGCTTCACTGACAATCCGGCCGTTCATCTCGTTCCCTATCACCGACTCCTTATAATGAGATATAATATCATTGACCGCATTGGTAATCTCGATAGTCCCACCGATCGTGTGCACATATGATCCAAGAAACTCAGACTCTGGGAAGAGTGACTCCGGAAAGATGAAGAACGCATACACCTCCGAAGCACCTGTTTTGTTGCGCAGGTATGAGGGGAACCCGCGAGCTAGATGATCAAAGCCGGAGGGAAAGTAACTTTCAAGCATACAGCCAGATATCAGGTCCATTGTTGCCTTGGTTATGCATGAGGATGTGAATGGGCCCCACAGCTTTGGCAATTCCACAGATAGTAGGTATGCCATGTAGTCAAGGTTTGGGTCTGAATGTGAGGCACCAAGGCCGAAGTTCATGGCAAAACGTTCCAGTTTAGATATCAGATCCGGGGGTTCTGCGTCATCAATGTATGTGAATAGGGTGGTGTACATCCCGATAAATAGTCGAACTTCAAACGGATAGGTGGTGTATGCATAATTGGCGACGCCTAGACCAACTGGTAGCCTTTTGATGAGCATCTGGCGATGTGGCTCGGAATTGACATGTTGGTGGATAGCATTCTCAGCAGCGTGGAATAATTCAGGGTCTTTGGGGACGGGGAATCGACCAAAATCACACCCTAGTGCTGTTACGAATGACCGGATGGCTTTTGTCGGAATGTCTTTCGCCGCATGTTCATTGTCCGGATAGACGACTGGGGTCTGTTGATATGCTAGCATTGTGTGGGCGAGTAAAATGCTTCCGTCCAGATGTTCCAATTATTCTCCGGCAGCAATTCTGTGTTACTGAAGAGGCAATGGAGATGTTGGCAAAGGATATATGCATGTATTCAAAACAAATTCCAGCTCTGTGGAGAGAAATCGACTTTTCTAAGAGCAGCCCGACCTTCAATTTTCCAACATTATCTAGTTATTTGTCTCATCATTTCCAAGATTTCCCCTAGTCTTAAAAATTATTGTTTTCTCATAGTTTATTGTTTGATTCCTCCTCCACTTTCTACTACCCAATTCGAGTGTACCGTGCAGTATTACCAATACCGGCACAGCTGAACTCCATCAAGTCTGCAAAGAAATTTGAGGCGAGATAAAGAGGAACTCATCTGTCACGGTGTGTATGGGTCCCGAGTGAAAGAAACAATCGGGAAGATCCTGACTCGAAAAATCTCTCAAACCTGTGGACCGCGAAACTCCATCAAGGCATGATTATTGGCAGGAGTCGGGCCACATGGGCGCATACTTCATACTACGAAGGTTCAGAGCAACCTCTGCGCCGGAACTATTCTCCCCGTTCCCACTCCCTGTATCGAAGTTGGTTCCGAGCATCCTCCCAATAGCCCCCACCCAAGATCTTGCACAACCTTCTTTTGGCAAAGATGCTCGTTTCTCCCGTCAATTAGGCGCCAAAGCAAGTATGCGGACCTTTAGCTCGCGACTATTGCCCCGTCGCAAATTCGATTATCTTCCGATAGGGGTTTTCTCGGGTCTCAAGTATGTGGGACATCCTCTGAAAAGGATGATGCATCGGAGTTGTTCACAAGTATGCGCGCTAGCAGTTCCCTGCAAATACTACTACGTAGTTACTTAATTAGTTAGTTATCTTTGAGGCAAGTGACTAAGTACGCAGGGATTAACTATTCGATTGGCCACTAGAGCCTGACGAACACCCACCTCCCTGAAAGATCAGGATCCATCGATCGTCGTAAACATTGGTCCTAGGTCACCGATCCTCCCGATCTTAAAGCGGTGCAGAAAAGCTACCCTTTCAGGCACTTGGGGGAAACAAAAATTCTAACCCAACACCCGGTCATCTTGTGCCACTTTTTTCCACCCTCCATCTTTCTTGTTCATTTTTTTCTGATAAGAACTACCAAATGATTCGGCTTTCATTCGTGACGTGTTGGAACTTAGAATGGCTTTCGTCGAGGAGCTCAGTCCCCTCTCCGTGACTGGGGTATCAACTGTGTTTCTTGCCTACCTAGTAGTCTGTATAGTGTATCGTTTGTACCTGAGCCCCATTGCAGCTTTTCCGGGGCCACCGCTGGCAGCTGTGACATGGTTGTAAGTTCGAATTACGCGTATCCATGTGGATTCTGTAGTGAGAATAGTTGAAAGCTAACTGCACACTCGAGTTATGAATTCTATTACGATGCAATATGTGGTGGCCGTTATATCTTCAAGATCAGTGATATGCATAAACGCTATGTAAGTATGACTTTCTATATGCATGTTCTAGAGTAAAAACCTCCATACCTTCTACTGACAAGTACATAGGGTCCGATTGTTCGCATCAATCCCGAGGAGCTTCATATAGAAACCTCGGCCTTCTATGATGAAATATATGCGCCCGGGAGTAAGAAGAGAAATAAAACCTCCCACTACAATCAGCAGCTCGGGACACCCTACTCCACCATATCTTCTATCGGCCATGATTTACATCGCATGCGTCGGTCCGCTTTGAATCCTTTCTTCTCAAAAGCAAGCGTCCGACGCTTGCAGCCCGTCATATGGGGGAAGGTCGACATCCTCCTGAGGAGATTGAATGGCTTTAAGAATACTGGCCAGCCGGTTCGCATTGATATGGCCTACGCCGCGTTTACAAACGGTATGAACGGAATGATGAAAGCCCAAAAAGGGTTTCCGTGCGAAGTAACTAACAGAGTCGCAGATGTAATTATGGAGTACACTTTCAGTCGGTCGCGTGAGCGACTGCAAAAGGACGACTTTGGTGCATCAGCTCAGGAGGCGCTGCTTGCTGCCAGCAAGGTTGTGCATTGGATGAAGCATTTCCACTGGCTCATTCATGTTGGCCAGGTTGTTCCGCCGTGGATCGTCTCGTGGATTAGTCCAACGTATGATTGATTGCCCCTCTGCTACTATGACACTTAAGCTAACTGCACGATAAATGATAGCATTGCAACCGTGCTGGAGGATGAACAGGTACTACTAAATCCTTATACCTCTTTGTCAGTGTTTAAGAGAACTGCGAGCTAACCAGAAGTCAATAGTCCTTCGCTCGCGACAATCTAGCCCAGGTGCACCAGATCATTAATGAAGCAGATGTCCCCCATGGAGAGAAACAATCCACGATCTTCCACGACCTAATTGCAAACCCAAATCTGCCTGTCTCCGAGAAGAGTGTCGAGCGACTTGCCCAGGAAGCTAAAATAGTCGTGGGTGCGGGCACTGAAACCACAGCCTGGGCATTATCAGTTATCACATACTTCCTGCTGAAGCAACCGGACACTCTATCTCGTCTTCGTGCCGAATTAGTCTCTTCCATCTCTGATCCCATAGCACCCGTCGGGATCGAGGTGCTAGAACAACTTCCCTACCTTACCGCTGTGATACACGAAGGTCTACGTCTATCCTATGGAGTTGTTGGCCGCCTTGCCCGTATTTCACCCGACGATGCACTGGTCTTCCACGACGGAAAACGCGGCAAGGATTGGGTGATTCCGCCAGGAACACCCATGAATATGAACTCTGTTTTCGTGCATAATGACCCCGCTATATTTCCGGAGCCAAGCAAATTCCGTCCAGAACGATGGATCGAGGCCGACAAAGAGGGGAAAAGACTGAACAAGTATCTCGTGTCTTTCACCAAGGGCTCGAGACAATGTGTAGGTATCAATTTGGCCTATGCGGAACTTTATATTTGCATCTCGAGGATCTTTAGACTGTATGGCGGCACGGGGGATGAGACGGGTGGGAAAGGAGGGATGCTGGAGCTGTTTGAAACGTCCAATGACGATGTGGATTTTGCGGCTGATATGTTCATCCCCGCTACGAAGGAGGGGAGTAAGGGTATCAGGTTGCTTGTTAGGGGATGATTGATCTGACAGTTAACCGGGTATTTAAATCTGGTTAGGTCTGAGAAGTATAGGAATCAAATAGTTGGAAATGACAACCAAATGTCTTTATTCAGTTTTGTTTGTTTCTGTTTAACTGTTCATACTACCCTACTAGTCTCAAGCAAAGCAGTAATACCATACTGTGACGGGTTAATTTACGCATGAATTATTCCGGTACCAAATATTACAACCAATCTGACACCACAGCATTGTAAGCAGTTACCCATTTATTCCCAGAACAGACTAGCCTTCCTGTCTCTCTTTACTAGTAACTACCTACCAGCTTTGTTTTATTACTATGTATATAAGCCGTAACACAACCATGCCACACAATCACTGTGACATCCAATGTAGTATGTACTAGCACCCACCTAGTACTACTCACCTATCTCGTCAACCACTTCCCAGCAGTCAGTCAGTCAGTAAGTAAGTAAAGTACAACAACCAACCTCCCCCCGGCACTTTCCATAATTGATAAACGAAGTAACATTCAGATCCATAGTCCTCGTTGACCTGACTGCAAGCAAGCAAGAGGGGAAAAAACAGTGACTTTTTCCTAGTCTGTTTGACTACTATTTGTCAGATTAATACAAGTTTCCCTGGTTACCATACTCTCTACAGCTCGGATCTAGCGACTTATACATACATATGAAATGTCATATTATGAGTGGGCCACAATCCTTTGCATTTGCGCCATGGCGCAGGAGCATAAGTATGAGACTACTAAGTAGGTCACCGTGATATATGCCCCGTGCCAATGGGCGTCTCACATATCCCTGATAATGCGTTCGTTTCGCTGTGGAATAAGTATGTAAATGATGTAAGTACTGTATCATTTAATATGTCGCGTGCCATTGGGCACGGACGTTTTGGGCTGGTTTGCAAATTTAGCTGGCTACTGTATGCTGTGATTGGTTGGTTACTTTTTTTTTTTTTTTTTTTTTTTTTTGAGGTACTTATTTTAAACCGTGGGGCTGTGAGTTCGTTGCTTTAATTGTTGGAGGTGTGACCCGGTATGTTGTGCATGCTGCATGAGTTCGGTAGTAGGTAGATAGATAGTTAGTGGCATGAATGAATTTTGAATTACGCTACTGTTCATCTTTGATACTACGTATGATATATTTGTAGACGTGTGATTAGAGTTGATGGTGTAGATGTAATAGTGGGTATCTTGGGCATAGGAACATGAACACGCCGGTGCAACATAATAGCAACCACTCCTTCTTTTTCCAGGTCAGACCTGGAATGGGAGAGGGAAATCATTTATCGACATCCATCGGATCGCCCGCGGTAGCCGCAACGGGTGTGGGTGTGGGTGTTGATGCGGACGCGGGTGCGGCTGCAGCTGAAGGGCCGGATGTAGATGGAGCAGGTGCCTCCGCGGCGGAAGTCTTTGCTTCGTTCTCTTTCTCTTTTTCTGTCTTGTCACTAGTAGTGGTGGTGGCCTCGTTGCTAGCGGCTTTGTCGTCCTTTCCGCTCTCTTTAGTTTCTTCTTTTGCTTCAGGACCGCCGAGGAACCGCGCTGGTACTCCTCGCGCAGCGACTCCGACAGGTCCAACGTAGCATCCCAGCATGGGACTCCAACTATACTTTTGTGCCACCGTGTGTCGGATCTCGTTGTAAGCATGTGAGTTTGCGAAGGGCAGGGAGGTTTCGGGATCCCGATAGCGCGAGGGTAGTGATGTAATAACGCAGAGGGATGAAGAGATTTCTATTTTGCGGTGTTAGCATGTCCAATGTGTTCGTGCATGCAATGGGGGAATAGGTGCATTGCATACTGGTTAGCCTAGGGGGTTTTTTGGCGTTGAAGTAGATACTAAACTCGCGGCTTTGGGCGGTCTTGTCATCAAAGTTCTCCAACACCGTAAGGGTTCGTCCTGTTTGCTCGACAACCTGAGGTACCTCTGGAACTTGCGGTTGTGGGGTTTCCCCATTCGCAACAGCTGGCTGGTCCGTATGCACCTCCGGAGCCTCCTGGCCCGGTTGTGCTGGATTGGGCGTCTCCTTCTGCGGGTTAGTCTGCGAAGGGGCGGCATTTGCATCTGGTACTGTGGTAGGGGATAGCTCCTGCTGCACCGTGGCAGGTTCAGACACAGGTTCAGCGGCTGTGGTTGGTTCAGGAGCTGTTTCCTTCGATGCATCATCGGACTTTGCGGCCGCAGTTGGTGGATCTTGGTCAGGCTGCTTTTCGGAGTCTAACGTAGGCTTCTCGCCAGACTCCTGCGACGTAGGCTGTTGAGCTTCGGCTGCGTGTACAGCGTCGTCTTTTTGTTGTACATCTGGCTTATCATCTGACTTGCTCTCCTCCGGAGCTGCATCTGGAGCCTTGGCCTCGGTGGCTTCCTCTTTCTTTTCATCTTCAATTTTTGATGAACCAGAGTCTGGTGCTGCTTCTGTAGCCGACTCGTCGTTAACTGCATCTGTGGCAGGCTGCACAGGATCAGCAGCAGCAGCAGCCGGAGTAGGGGCAGCAGCAGTAGCCTCTGTGTTCACATGAGAGGGGGTGGATTCCTCCATTGGCGTATCGGTGGATTCCTCCATTGGCGTATCGGTGGGTTCCTCCATTGGCGTATCGGTGGGTGCTTCCTTTGGCGTAGCAGTGGGTGCCTCCACTGGTGTATCAGCGGGTTTCTCTTGCGATATTGCGCCATTGGTCTGGGTGGGCTCAGACTTTGTTTGCTGCTGTTCAAGGTCTTGGTTCGGCTTTGCAGGTTCTGCATCGCCGGGTGTTTGTGGTAGCGTAGAGCCCTCATTCTGGGTGGGAGGAGGGGCTGTTTGCGACGTGGCAGAACCAGCAACAGTGGGATCCTCGGTCGGTTTTTGCTCTATCACATTTTTGTTTTCTTTGTCCGTCTTCTTGCTTTTCTTGCGTGTGGTATCCTCCTTCTCTGGTTTGGCCGTAACGTCAACTTTGCCAATGCGCGTTAAGCGACCATTAACCCAGGTTGCTATGCCGCTCCAGTACGACATGACTGGCCCTTCAAGGCGGCGGTTCTGAAGGGCTTCAATTTTCGCACGTCTTTCTTCAGCCTTCCTTTTTTCCATTTCCTCCCATCGATTTAGACTCTTGCTGTTATGCCTCTCCACCCTTTCTGCTTCTGCAAGACGCTCGGCTTGCGTCATCTCCTTCGGTTTGAACTGGGCCTTCCTTTTAGCTGCTTCCTCCATGGTGGCGATGAGACGGATGCGCTTTTCTTCGCTGTCCTTCAGGCGTGCATGCGTGAGTTCCTTGTTCTGCATAGTCTGGCGACGAGAGGATGATCGCGTGGGCCCTTCCTCCGGCGTAGGGATCCATGAGATACGTTCCGACTTCTTTTTAGGGCGAGGAGCAGGCACTGTAGACACAGCAGTAGGATCGATTTTGACCTTCTTGCTGGCTATCTTGAATCGAAGGTCTTCTCGAGCTCTCTTTTTCTTCTTCTCTTGTCGCTCCTCCTTCTGTATCTGTTGCTCCCCCTCCATGTCGTCAGCTCGAGACTCGGGTCCTTGATCATCCTCATCATCCGAGGAAGACTCAAAGCGCATATCATCCTCTTCGCCCCCTTCTTCCTCCACATCCATCGCAAACTCGTTGTCATCCTCCACTTCCTCGAACAAGAGCGCAAGGTCATCGTCTGCGGCGGCGTCCAGGAGGGCTGACATATGAAGGCCGGCTGTGCTTCGCTTCGCACGCCCCTGAATGAGGGACTCAACCGGCGCCTCCTCCACTGAGGAGGGGCTTTCATGATCATCTGCCATTGTTCGTGAGGACAGTTGTTGATTCAAAGTCGGCAAGTGAGGAACATTAATCGTTTATCGGAAGCCGACCGTAAAATCACGATAAAACGCGAGTCCGGTCGGGCGCGTATGAGATCGGCCAAGCGTGATACTTTGTGGTAAAATTGTTCATTTATTTCATTCTAAAAGAATCACGTAAGAAAGTTAATCCTCAAATATCAATAATGTGTGGAGAGCAAAAGGGAGCAAAAAAAGAGTTGAGCCCAAATTATTGGAGACTTAATTGTTGCACCGGAGCTCTGGCAAGGCGGTGCCGGAAATCATTGCAGATACAGCGGAGGGCAGTGGCGGGTGGTAAGTTGATGCCTCAGGTGTATTATATGTTAGGTCACGTGATTTATATATGTGATGAATGGGATTCAGAACCCGGATGTCACCCCAATAATTGAGATGGAATAATCCCTAATTCACATAGCAGGAAATTTTGTATGGGCGTATAAATCCAACCTACCTGATACGATATAGCATGAGGGGCATCCCGAGTCTTCCGGGCAGGGGACCGCAAGCATCCAGCCCGACCCGAGAATACTCTGGGTCAGGTACCGCGTTGCACAAGTTCCTGTAAGTCACAGTAGCTGCAGGAATATTGGCTTGAAATAAGAAAAGTGAAAACCATATATCCATAGTAGCCTTTAGCCTGGCCCCCGCATAACTAACTGTCTTACCGCCATGGTTGATTAGCTTGCTGTATGTCATGACGGATCCTCAAGGGATGTGGCAGGGTTTACTTTAGGAAGTACTCCGTCGTACAGACTACAGGCAGCGTTCCTGCATAAGAGTTCCGCCGATGACTTCACATCTTGAAAGATTCCACTTGAGATATCCATCCCTTCACAACAGAATGTCTTCATCCCTTGCGTTATGGATTACATTGAACCCACGAGAGGGATTTGACATGTTTGCTCCAGGTTTAGTATCTACTGCAGTACTCCGTAGTACCCGATATATATTCCGTAATCATGACAGATGTGGCTCCGTTAAGTTCGAGTATAAGTAAAGCTGACAGTAAATTTCTTTGGGAAAGAAACCGGCAAGGGAGTAATCAATCGAACAGCCTTTCCAGCTATGCGCCGATCCATTTAACATCATGAAAAGGCAGGTCATCCGATAGACATACTTACTCATTGCCACAATCGAGGGAGGAAAGAAGAGAGGTGATCAATGTCAAAACACATGACGGACGGTGGAATGCGGGGTCTTAG